TACTGCCACTGCAGAAGCTCTCCCCGAATCTGCGGCCAGTGAAGCTACCGAAGCGGCTTCTCCAGCTGAGACGGCAACATCTTGTGCAGAAACGCCTAGTGGCGTAGTTCCTCTGGACAAGGTGGAGACCGGCCCTGGACTTCCAGCAGAAAGTTTGTGTTCCACCTGCAGGAAGCCTGTCTCTGTGGTTGTGGCACGGGCAGTGGGGAAGACAGCTACTTCTTTGCGCTGCAGGGCATGCCACAATTTAAAAAGTAGGATCAACCGGGTGTTGAGCCACTATGGCTCATTGGCCCAGGATTGGACGAAGGTAACTGAAAAGGAGAAGAAAGAATTTTACAAGAAGTACAAGGAGCAGGCGGGACCGGACCTTCTGACCAGGCTCCAGGAGACAGTGACGGAAAGCAAGAAGACCAGCAGCGCCGTCTCCTTCGAGGGCACCGGCGATTTCCTGGACGAGATAGATTTGGAGGAGAAGTACAAGAACAAGCCAGATCAATTGGCCGCTATTAAGGCCAACACCCGGACCTACTTCTGTCCAGTTCGACAGGTGCAGCTTTTCGAGGATGTGAAATATAAGCGCACGGCTGTGGAGACCGAGGAGTACGCGAAGGTGCAGAAACGCAAGAGGCAATCAATTCCGCTTGAACAAGGTGAACGTGATGAGACGGCTGCAGATTCGAGCCAGTGCAAGAAGGGCAAGAAAGAAGCAGCCAAAAGTGAGCTGCCGAAGTTGAAGGCTGGAGGCAAGAAAAAGATTTCCAAGAAAGTGGAACTGATGAACGCAAAGAAGCTGCAGCTGATGGATTGGAACTGCAAAGCGCGTGGTGACAAAATCAAAGACTTGGTGCCTGGCTATGTCGTGAAGGCTTCCACAAAGCTGGTGGATGACGCTGTGGCCTTTGGGGTTGAATGCGACAGCATTCTTGAAAGTGGCCATGGCGACGCAGATGAGGTCATCAAGAAGGCAGACTCTTTCATGGAGCAGCTGACAGAGATGATGGGCCGCGTCAAGTGCCAAGTGGATCAGGCGCATGCTTTTGTTGCCACTGGTGCGAGCGGCCAGGAGTGAGGCTCGCCCGCTCAACTTCCAGAGGCTCGCCCTGAAGGCGGCAAATTTTGACAGCACGGGGATTCCTTATGAGGAGAAAGGAAAATATCCCGTTCTTTTTGTTTGCAGAAAAAAAAATCAAAAAACGAAACATTTTGGGCCGTATCGGGGCCGTATCGGGGCCGTATCGGGGCCGTATCGGGGCCGTATTGGGATGACTTTGGATACCCGGCCTTATTGGGACCATTCTCTTTCAAAAAATGAAATGTGAAAGTCACGGTTTTTTGGTGGCGCTCCGCGTGTGCAACTTCCACTGTGTATGAATTTGGGAATGGGCAAAATCACACGAGCTCAAAGGCCAGCCTTTGAAGCGTGACAAAAATATAAGTGCAAGCCGTAAAGAACACAAAAAGCGTCCAACACCCGGCCAAACACGTACTCCCCAGCGCGCACTTGGCTCACAAAGTCTCTGTGAAAGGCTCGCCTTCACCCATGGAAAGAAACGCTCCTGCACGCACGACTCAGACTGAGATGGCTGGAGGTCCCCCCCAGCTAGGTGGAGGCTCGCCCCAGATGCAGACATGCGACGGCTCGCCCCAAAGAAAGCGAAGGAGCGGAGGTGAAGAAGCGCCGCGCAAGCAGCCACGCAGCTCCAAAGATTTATCCCCTGTTTCAATGGGCGCTGAAACTTTGACCCTCGACTTTTGGGAAGACAGAGACATAGAGGTGGGCGAGGACACCCAGCAATTCCCTGAGAATCCATCGATCGACTATGAGCTTGCATACACAGACTGGATGTTGTCCCAGTTGTCTGAGAAGGATGGCACGTGCAAGTGCAAATGGGTAACCCATGGCACTCGCTGGCATCGATGGGTTTGCTTTCTCTGCAAATATCCGGGACCCCAATGAGGCGCTTCCCTCCAGAGCCACCCCGAAACGCACGAGCCATGAACGGCGGCAGTTAGTTTAATTAAACCGTGAGGCTTGCCCACGTGATGCGCAGTGCAATCTAGTATATGATGCAATTTTTGCAAGAAAGAGAAAAATGAACAATCTGCTTTTCTTTGGGCTTACAAGGCTTTTTCCAGCTTGTCAGCTTTGGCGCATGTCAACAGGTCTACTTTCCCAACCACAATGTGCATTTTGACAAATGCAACAGCAGGAAAATAGCTGAAGCATCTGTTTTTCTTTGGCCCACATCTGCACACATACTTACAAACACCACAGTGTATATACCCAGCAAGCACGGCTCAAGAAAGCATTAGCTGTTTTGGTTTGAAGATGGGGTCGGAGGTTTTAGTTCCCGAACCCAATGACTGGAAAACAGAATTTCCACAGCTGAGGCTCGCCCAGCCAATCCACATAGCAATGCCATGCTGCGGAATAGACGGTGCTGGTTGGTCACTCCGAGCTATGGGGGTGCCCTTTACACCAAACAACGTATACGACCTGGAGACGCGATACAAGGAGTACTGGCAGGGCATAGTTGAAGAAGGCTCGCCTCTTCATTTCGGAAAGCACAATGGTGACATTGTCCAGGTCCAGCTGTCGGACTTGGAGCGCCCAGTGCATGTGCTTTGCAGTGGCCCGCCATGCCCGCCTTGGGCAGGAAATGGCAACAAGAAAGGTGTGGAAGACTTCCGAGCAAAAGCTTTTCTGGCTATTGTGAATATAGTGGCTTCGCTAGCCAAGTGTGGTGAGCTGCAAGCAGCGATCTTGGAAAATGTCCAAGGCATTTTACACCGCCAAGGTGGCGAAGAAAGTTTCATGTCAAAGCTTCTGCACATTTTGCAAGAAGAAGTGCAGGAATTTCTCTGGCAGGTGGACACCCTCAAGGCGGTGGACTACAAGCTAGCGCAGGACAGAACGCGTGTGTTCTTGCGTGGGATCCGGAGCACGTTGTGCCCAAGCGGGGCGGTGCCACCTCCACTACCCCCATTTGGCCACAGAGTGTTGACAGACTTTCTGGCGTCAATGCCTTGTGTGGACCGTAAGAAGCTCACAAAGTGCATGGCCCAAAACTTGAAAGACAGCCAAGAACAACTGCGGAAACTTTTGCAGGAAGGTCGCCTCGTAGAGACAGACGTTGTCTGCTTCCCACTGGACCGCGCAGATGGCAAAACATACAAGCGGCATATCAGCGTCAATCGTACACCAACATTGACCACCTCGAATTCATACCTGTTTGTGTCAGACATGAAGGTGGGCCTCCCAGATCAGCAACGGACACACTTCCGTTTCTTGCATCCGCATGAGCGGTTTGTTTTGCAAGGTTTCAACGTGGAAGTCGCCGAACAATTCGCTTCCAGCCAAGCCTTACAAGTCAAGGCAGCAGGAAATGCCTATCCAGTGCCACTCATTGGAGCAGCAATGGCCCCATTGCTGGCTGCCTTCGGTGAGCTGCCCCAGAAAGGAGAAAGGGAGCTGGAGTTCCCCACGCGTTTCCATGAGCGTTTGGCTGACGCCATGTACGGTGCTGGGAAGAAAAGCAAACCCAAGAAGGCAGGACATAAGGTGCTCAAACGACCGGCTGCACACCAATCATCAGACAAACCTGCAGACGAAAAATTGGACAAAACCCATCCTGGGCCCCATGACAAGGAGCAACATGACGGTGATGGGGCACAGCCTTTGGGTGAAGAACGTGCGGGGCCTTCCACCAAGAAGCGACCTGCCAGCACGGCAAGCATCGGAAGGCCCTGTCAGAAACCAAGACTCCCTGCCGCATGGCGCCTGCGTGGCTTTCTTTCTTCCTCGAGCTCTGACTCCGGCTGAATGTGCAAGGCTCGCCTGCACCATCATACCAGTTTTGAAGCAAGGCTCGCCTGCTGCGATGCGTAACCACGACGGATCCACAACTTGCGCTAAAAACAATAACTTGCAAGTGTTACCGCCCAGAAGCCCGTTGCACTCTCACAGGTGGGCAAAGATTGCATGAGTTTATTTCCTCTTCCACGCTGGTTCAAGCTGACCACGGGTTGCTGCGAGGCTTGCCCGCAGAAACATTGAGAGCGAAGCTTTTGCTTGTGATTGTAGGGACAAACCACATGGCTGAAGCCCGCTTTGATGGGATGCTTGACTACTTCGCTGCTCTCCAAAAGAGCTGCGGGGGGTTCCTTGAAAAGGACGCCTTAGACCCCCTGTTGAAAAGCTGCATGCTGGATATTGAACGCGCCCCGCCCATAACCATAGAAGCAGGGGCCAGCATGCTTAGAAAGCTTGAGAAAGCTACCGTGCCCCAGGCATGGCGTGAAGCTTTAGTGAAACTGGTGCAAGCCAAGGTTCAGACAGGCGCAGAGAACAGCTGCAACGAAGGGAATAAGAAGAACAAGGAAAAACCAAGGCAGACATGTCTGCACTTGGACAACTATTTCTTGAAGAAGGACTGGGAAAAACTGGCTTCGGATGGGTTGACTGACAAGGTCAACTTGGCAGCGCAAAGAATGGCAGCCCTGGGTTTGCTGAACCCAACAGAGCCGACTGTGGTGCATGCAGTCGCAATTCTGTATTTGACGTCGCACAAAGGGACCCTGGAAGAACTTAACATCACCGGCGTCCATGCTTTGAATACGGTGCGGGATTTGAAATCTGTGCTCAGAGGATTGAAAGGCTTTACGCACATCAAGGACAAGCGCACCATTTGCGCAGCCGGCCAAGAACCTTGGCGCAAGGAGGACAAGTGGGTGGAGAAGCGCGTTGGGCTTCACAACATTCGCTTGGAAGTCGGCCGGGGCCATGAGGTGCCAACCCCGTTGCAGGACCTGGAGGTGGAGGAAGAGGAAGAGCAGCCCGCCAAGTTTGCGCACAAGACCAGAGAAGCGCTGGGGCGTGGCAGCGTGGCTTTATGGGGCAACGTGAAGAACCATCGCCGCAAACCGCGGCTCCACATCCCAGCGCTCGGCGCCACTGTCACTGCCTTGTCCGATTACACGGGCCGGCTGGGAGACTGCCAATGCTACATCATTAGCAACGGTGAGAACCTCATTGGCGACGTCGTGGTTTGGCGCTGCCCTTGCCAATGTCCCTGGGACATGGAGCTCTGGGAAGCCCTCCCCTGGCCCGCGGACCTTGAAGGACTAGCGCCCCTGGATGCCGTTCTGGTTTCGCGTGAGGGCTATGGCAACTCCCGGATGGCTGGTGGCGATTATGACGGTGACTTGGACATGTTCTCCTTCCATGAAGATTTTGTTGAGATTGTCCGGCGCACAGAGACCGCCGTCAGACAGGTGCCGGTGGACCAGGTGGACGGCAAGGTCAAAAGCAGACTGGCAGAATTGGAGGCGGAGGAAGCGAAGAAGGAACATGAATTGCAGCTACTTGGTGTGACCAGTAAGAGAGCCGAGCTCCAAGCTCTCTTTGATGGTGGACAACGAGCTGCGGCTTACCTTCAATACAGCCTGTGGCTACCCACGCCAAGGCTACGGGGCTGGGCTTGCGCTCGCGCTGAGCGAGTCGCTTCTTTGGCACTGAAGAAGCCATCCCCTGGCGCCTGGGACCGCTTTTTCAAGGCATCCCTCACGGCACACAAGGCAATGGATGTGCCGAAGCATTACCGTGCCACTTGCCTGGTCCAGGCCATGAAGGAGGTTGCTGAAGAAGCCGGCATCACACGCAAGGTCCCCAGAAGCACAAAGCTGGCTTGCGACGGCGCCAAAGGCCTTAGGCTGCAAATGCCACAGCTCCGCCGCCACAACACCTTTGAGGCGGTTGCTAAGTGGCTGGACAACTTGCAGCTGGGGCCATATGGAGCTGTCTGGCTACCGGAGAAGGAGATTGTCTTGGGGGAGGATGCTGCGAGGCAGGTTCTGGACATCCTGCACACCCGGCCGGTCAACTTGAACTTCTTCGACCGGTCTCCTGTCAGACAGCCCATCAAGGAGATCGCATATTTCCTCGCTCACAAATTGTCCAGAACCATTGGGGGCCCCAAGAAATATCCAGAAGCAGGCGGCGTCGCCATTGCAAAGGCCTTTGCGCACAGTCGGATGACACCTGTCAACACCACCGGGGCCCTCTACCGCAACACTGATTTGCTTTGAAGTTGAAGCCGTTGTGTTGTACACTAGCCCATAGCACGAGGAGAATTCCCAGGAATCAAAAAAAAAAGAATAGTAAAGATAAAGAAAAACCTCCCCAAAAAAAAAGGCGGAGGGGACGCAAGGACCCCACCCAAAGATGGGACAAAAAAGAAAAAACAAAAAAAAGAGAAGAAAAACAACAGATTACAGTCACCGACAGAATTATGGAAAAAAAAACGTTTCAATTTACAGGCACCGCCTGTCTATGATAGAAAAGTTACGAACCTTTTTTTTCCGTAATTATTTTTTCCATAATTATTATTTTTTCCATAATTCTGTCGGTGACTGTATTACCATCGATTCGCAATTTGAATGCATTTTAAGGGGGAATATTGAATTATAGAAAATATGTGTCTAAAGATCTGGTATATGCCCCTAAGTCTTCCATTGATATACATAATATCATGATGTGATGTTCGCAATTTGAATGCATTTTAAGGGGGAATATTGAATTCTAGAAAATATGTGTCTAAAGATCTAGTATATGCCCCTAAAGCCTGCCAGGTGGAGCCCCAAACATTAATTATGGAAAAAATAATTATGGAAAAAATAATTATGGAAAAACCGGTCAATCTGCCCTAGCCCCCTGATTTCACAGGAAAAATCAATTATGGAAATAATGGCCACCTCCAAGAATTATGGGAAAAAAAAAGGTTCGGATCACTTCCGGGATATTTTGAACCCTGATGGGGAAAAATCCAATTATGGAAAAATCGGACGCAGGCGCCGCCTGTCTAAGTTGAACGTTTTTTTTCCATAATTCTGTCGGTGACCATAGAAAAAAAAGCGGAGGGGACGCAAGGACCCCCCCCCAAAGACGGGGGTCCGGGCTTAGGACACCCGGGCAGCATCCCTCCCTGCGGGGCATAGGGGGGCTGATCGTCCTTGCAAACCGTTACCGTCCTGGGCAGCGGTTTGCTGCTTGGGGGATCTCCTCGCTTGGTGGCGGGTTGGTAACCTCGGTGCCTTCACCAGGTTACACACCCGTTACTGAGCGGGGCGATCCTCCAAGTAAAGATCGGGAGAGCCGTCGGGGAAAGACTGTTGGGGCAAGTAGGCCCTTGTCAATGCGAACCTTATCCGATCACACAAATAACTATCGCGCAAGATACTAAAAGACAATCGCTCGCCAAGCCGAACGAATTTTCATCACCCGCTTGTCCAACTTCAAGAAATGACATTATCCAACACCTCTTCAAACAACCCGTGCACCGTTCCAGAAAGACAAATTTCACACACGCTTGCCTGTTCTATATAGGAACAACAAAATCCTGCTGGCCTGTAGGAGTAACCGCGCAAGGTGACGGCGAAAACATCCAAACAGAAGAACCGATAGGAAGAGAGGGTTGTTTCAAGTAAAGTGATGTGGTGGATGCAAGAGGCGTTCTTTTTCTCTACTAGAGCTTTTGCTTGTCAGCATTTTTCTTCTGCTGGCGCTAGCTCTCCCCCGATGCTTTTCTAATTGTTGTTTTTACCCTGGGCTTTTTCTACGGCGACGTGATTTTTATCCAATACTTGTTTTATCTCAGCTTGTGTTTTGCTTTCGCTGGTGTTGTTTATCTGGCATTGTTCGTTGCCGGTTCTTTGTCTCGCTCTACGAGCTTGATCGTTTAGGTTCGCTCAAGGAACCCGGAAGGTTCATTCTGGGTTCACTGGGTTCTTTTCTGCTCCACTTCTTCTCCCTAAGTTTCTATGTTTCGCTTCATGTCTGACTGTTTCACAACCGGTACTGCTGCCCGCTGTCAGTTTCAGTCGCGTTAATTTGTGAAACTGTACGTGTCATGTACATGACGTTTGGACGTCAGTGATTTTCACGCTGCAGTGATGTCAGTGCATTCAGTGAAACACATTTCCATTTGGAAGGTATTCGGAGCTTTTGAACCCAGTTGAATCCAATGTCCTCTGTGCCATTTTGGCTTCAAGATTTACGCTTCCTTGTCACCTCGTTTTCCCACCTCCTTCCCACTTTCACAACCTTGTGTGGGTTATCCTTGATCACCGCCGTGATCTGGATTCTGAATGTTTTAATCTTTGAGAGTCAAGTGATTTCACTTGCCTTTGCCTTCCCTTTTCGCTCTCCTTGTTGTCATGTGATCCTTTCCTCTTTCCCGTCAATAGGGGCGGTATGCTGGTTTTGGATCACCGCTCCAGTCCTTCCCGCTGGTTTGGCCTGGTTGTTCTCATCTTCTGACCTTGTGCCTTTTCATTTTCCCGTTTGGGTAATCTGGCACTTGGTCATTCTCTGGCTGGTTCCCTTTACTGTGACCTTTCCCTTCCCTCTTTTAAAGACACCGGGCTATTTTCCAGCTCGACATCCACACTGATGAGTTCTTTCAATTCACCCTTGTGTTCTCTTTGTGACATGGTCACTCACCATGTCACATCTGGGTGCAAGAGAATGGGATATTTTGATTTTAATCTGGTACGGCGATAAATTTGGCTTGTGGGTTTTACCCGCCTCATTTTTTCACCTGATACCCTTTGGGTGTGGTCGGGTTTGGCGGTGCGTCGCTGAAAATAACGGGGCGGCGGTCTCCGGGGTTTGGGGGTTCAAGTGATTCAAGCTGTTCGGGTATGGTGATCGTAGGGTTGGTTGGTGGTAGGACGTGAAGAATTTACGGGGTAGCGGCTCTGAAAGGGCTTGAAAGATGGTTGAAAGCGTGACAGATGGCGCGTGGGGTAATTTGAAAGTTTGGTCGGGTTTGGCGGTGCGTCGTTGAAAACAACTGGGCGGCGGTCTCCGGGGTTTGGAGGTTCAAGTGATTCAAGCTGTTCGGGTATGGCGATCGTAGGGTTGTTTGGTGGTAGGACGTGAAGAATTTACGGGGTAGCGGTTCTGAAAGGGCTTGAAAAATGGTTGAAAGCGTGACAGATGGCGCGTGGTAATTTGAAAGTTTGGTCTGGTTTGGCTGTGCGTCGTTGAAAATAACGGGGCGGCGGTCTCCGGGGTTTGGGGGTTCAAGTGATTCAAGCTGTTCGGGTATGGTGATCGTAGGGTTGGTTGGTGGTAGGACGTGAAGAATTTATGGGGTAGCGGCTCTGAAAGGGCTTGAAAGATGGTTGAAAGCGTGACAGATGGCGCGTGGTAATTTGAAAGTTTGGTCGGGTTTGGCGGTGCGTCGTTGAAAATAACGGGGCGGCGGTCTCCGGGGTTTGGAGGTTCAAGTGATTCAAGCTGTTCGGGTATGGTGATCGTAGGTTGGTTGGTGGTAGGACGTGAAGAATTTACGGGGTAGCGGTTCTGAAAAGGCTTGAAAGATGGTTGACAGTGCTGACTTCTTGCTGGCCCGGCGCGGGCTTGTACACCACTAAAACCCAAGGAGGTGAAACTCTGTGTTGGCGCACCATGGCGCAAGCCGCTAAAATTTTGGTTTTTCCCAAGGTCAGATTGTTGGCCGGGGGGGGCTCGACCCAAAGCTTCACTTTCCAAAACTCCAAAATCCAAAGCTACATTTCTAAAACTACACTTTCCAAAACTACACCTTCTAAAACTACACCTTCTAAAACTACACCTTCCAAAACTACACTTTCCACTATTTGGCCGGGGGCCCAGGGAGGGTACTGACCCTAACCCTGCTTTCTAAAACTACACTTTCCAAAATTACACCTTCCAAAACTACACTTTCCAACGCTACACTTTCTAAAACTACACTTTCTAAAACTACACCTTCCAAAACTACACTTTCCAAAATTACACTTTCCAAGACTACACTTTCTAAAACTACACTTTCTAAAACTACACCTTCCAAAACTACACTTTCCAAAACTACACTTTCTAAAACTGCACTTTCTAAAACTACACCTTCCAAAACTACACTTTCCACTATTTGGCCGGGGGCCCAGGGAGGGTACTGACCCTAAACCCCGCTTTCTTAAAACTACACTTTCCAAAATTACACTTTCCAAAACTACACTTTCTAAAACTACACCTTCCAAAACAACACTTTCCACTATTTGCCTGGGGACCTATAGTGGGGGTACTGACCCTAAACACCGCTTTCTAAAACAACACCTTCCAAAACTACACCTTCCAAAGCTACACTTTCCAACGCTACACTTTCTAAAACTACACTTTCTAAAACTACACCTTCCAAAACTACACTTTCCAAAACTACACTTTCCAAAACTACACCTTCCAAAGCTACACTTTCAAAAAACTTCAAAATCCAAAAACTAGACCCTCCAAAACTACAAAATCCACTACACCCTCCAAAATTACATTTCCCAAAGCCGAAATCCAAAACTACATTTTCCAAGACTACGCCTCCCAAAAATCAAAATCCAAAACTACACCTTCCAAAACAACACCTCTCAAAACTACACCCTCCAAAAACTACATGTCCCAACACTCAAAATCCAAAACTACACCTTCCAACACTACAACAGGAGCCCGACTGCAGCGTGGCTGCTCCAGAATGCTACTTCTCTCAAAACAGCTTATTGTCGTATGCCGCTCATCTTCAGCTCCTTGCAAAAGAGGGCCATGGGGCATATTCATTGCGTTTCTGAGCCCGAGATCAAGAACGCAGTGGGAGTGGACCCGCGAGACGGTATGGCCGAAATGTCCCTGCAATTGGCCCAGCGGCTCGGACTTATCAGCGCCAAGCTGTTCCAATTCAGGGGGTGGCTTGAACTTGCAAATGAGCCTGGCACGCCCACAGCCCTCTGCAAAGGCATGGCGATCGTCAACCCCAGGCTCCAAGGCGAGGTGCTTTTTCTGCCCAAGTCCACGATCAAAGTACGTGGCCCAGCACTAGCCAATCCGTCATGCTACGGCCTGGCATAGACCAGGCCCATGGCGTCGCCGCGCCTGACGGCTTCCGTGCTGGCGATGCTTGAGACAAGGGTGAAACTTTTGGAGAACAAGCGGGAGCGAGGCAGGGTGGAAGGCAAGCTCCGATCCTTCGTGCAGAAGTGCAAATCACACACTTGGGAGGTCTTTAAGGAGAAGTCCTTTGGAA